ACCTACTCAGTCCGGTCGGCCTAAATTTGTTTTCTCCAATGCCCACCTGGGATGACATTTCGTCAATTGAGGCGTATTAAGACAGATTTTCTGGGCGCACTTTCAGGGGCACCACATCAGGAGGGTCAACGTTGCTCCTACAGCAAGGACAGATAATACAGAGAATGAAAGAACCTTGTCCGGGAATCAAGCCCAGAACCTTTCTGATACAAGGTATACTTAATATTACACAATTCGTTTGGCCATTGATTTTACATGCAATGAATGATAGGGCAGGAATGATACTTGCTTTTCAAAATGATGATTTTATCTATAATTTATTCCATATTCAAGAAATATGTAAGGGAAATTTCTGGCAAGTTTTTTTTAATCTTTATGTATCAGTGCAGTGTTTTAAGCTTGAATGCCCTTGAATACATTATAGCACAGGCCACTATTACTACTAATGATATTCATTGTAACTAAAAATATGAAACCTTGGATATTAATATCATTAGAAAATGGTGAATTTTATATTAAAATTGATAAATTTGCTTCCAATTTTTTTAGAAAACTTTGTTAGATTGCCACTTTAGTTTCATGTGAAATTTCCATTAGTATCGAGGTGTTAAGAGTCAGTTTCGAAATTTTAATTGCTTAAAAATCGAAGAAAAAAAATCGTTGTAGTGCATACATAAATTTTTACCAAAGACTCGTTGCTATTGCGTCCCAACTAAACGAAAAATGCCCTTCAAAAGTTTGGTTTCAGGGGGGGAAGGGACAATCGGGAGGGAGACTATTTTTGTTATTTAAGACAAACATAAATTTGAGAAGAAAAAAACTAACATTCGAATCTTTATTTGAATAACAAAAATTTAAAAAAAAATGATGGAAAGCCGTGGTTTTACGAAAGTTTTTAAAGAAAATTATGGTTATTCGAAATGTGGGTATAATGAGGGGTTAAGGAGTAAACCCTCTTTTCGGAGGTTAGAAGTAAATTGATACGGAGAATGTGAAAACTCATGTGATTGTTGTTGAAAGTCTAAACTGGTAAAAATTTAAGAGAATAAGTAAAAAGTAAAAAAATAAAAATAAAACAGACTTTGGGGAATTGACTTATGGTTCTGGGGAAGGTATAGGAAATAGTATGGTTATTGTTGGGAAAGTTCTTCCTTGAAATGTTGGAAATATTTTCTTTATATAGATCCCACTAGAGGAATTTTTAAAAATATTTAATTTAACTACTTTCTTCTATTTTTCTTTGTTGAAGTACTGAGAGATGTCATTCCAATGTTTTACTCACTATTCCCATACTTATTATATAAAAAATCCCAAGAAACTGTAGCGGTTAGGTATCATTCGATTCAAAAATACATAATTAAGAAACAACAATATATATGTTTTAAGCGCTCGATAACAGGCACCCATTTTTAGGAATTGCCGGACGTGAATGAGAAGAAACAATAGTGATTTGAATAAGAAAAAATAAAGTTTCCACAAAAAATGAAAAAAATAAAGGTGAGAAACAAAAATAGAAAAACCACAGTAGCCGAGAGAGAAAGAAGCTAAATGATTTGTAGTGTGCGGACATCTTCGCCAGAGGGCGCTTCACTCGCTCACCAGCAAAAAGTAATTAAATAAAATAGGAGAGAAGCGTTCTCGGAACTGGCTTGTGAAGTCAGTACCAATTATGTCACTAACTTACCTTTAATTTCATATTAATTTAATGTATGTTTCAATAAAAAGTGTTGTCCTTAAAAGTGAGAGTTATCCATGAGAACGAACCACATTATTCCATAGAGGAATATTACAAAATTGAACAAGAAAAACCACGTGGGTCGAGAGGGGCAAATCACGCTAAAATGTATTTCCCCGCTCTATGGAGAGTCGGTGAGGAGCTAATATCGTTAACAAGGGAGTCAGCATTCATATGAATAAAACAAGATTGAATTAAATTCAATTTCGTCAAGGGCAAAATTATCTCCTTATCTAATCCCATCAGCTCATCTTGACGCCCTGAATTCATATGAATGCTGGTTCCCTTATTAACGACATTAGTTCTTCACCACATCTCCATAACACGTGAAAATGGATTTTATACTGATTTGCCCCTCTCGGCCACTGTGGTTTTTGTTGTTCTATTTTTTATCTCTCGGCTGCTGTGGATTTTCTAGTTTTGTTTCTCACCTATATTTTTCAAATTTTCGTTAGCAACTTCACGTTTTATATTTAAAATCATTTTTGCTTTTTTCATTTTGCTCTTAAAAATGGGCTCTTGTTTTAGAGCGCTTGAAACAGGCCGACTGTTATTTACTACTTATATATTTTGGAAGCGAATAAAGTTTTCAATCAAGTAATCCTTTAATCTATTTCCCAAGGGACACATTGTAGGCATAGAAATAGTAGAAAATGTTCCATAGTTTTCAAATCTCGATTATTAATGTTCGGCGGATGCCTAATTCCTTAGTATTAATTATTCGTAGTTCTCGTAATTTAATAGCCATACCTCATATATATTTATAAAAAACCTCAGCTCGTATGTTTTTTCTTTTGTGTGTGAAAATATGTGAGAAAATTATACTATGGTTAAAAAATTTATTTATTTCAGTGTATTTATTCAGGGCATTCAGTATTAATTATTTCATTCATTTATTTTATTCAGGCTAAAAAAAAATTATTTTTTTTCTTAAATGCAAAGATTTCTTTCTTTTAATTTTAATGGTCTTAAAATGTACGATTAAATTTGTTTGAAAATCAAATTTTATTTATAAAGTATTTTACTTGAGCAGAAAGGTAAAAAATAATAATAATAATGTTAATGCAATATTTAAAAAAATTCGATTTTATAATAAATAGTTGTAAGAACAGAAGTATCTATTTTACAAGTAAAAAAAAAATTTTAGTTACAAAATAGATGCTCTATTTGCAACCCAGAGATGGATGCAATATTTGCTGTATTTATAATGCCACTCTTGTAGTAGAGCGCATGAACTGTGAATGTGAAATGATTCAATCGTTCACCATTAATCAAGAGAAAAAACATCATTCACTTTCACTTAAATTAAATATGCAATAAAATTCTTGTTTTGTTTTCTGCTCGGAATTTTATTTTAATCAATCATTACGTGGAATGAACGAAATAATCAACAAGTAACGTATATTTTGAAAGCCAAGAGGATTCATGAGAAACTATTTAGCCTTGACTTCTCATATCAGCGAACAGTATGAATCATTGTTTAAAATAAACTGAAAATATCTTATTCAATGCAGATTCATTAGGCGGTTGAATAAAAATTAATAGAATTCATCATTTCACGTGATATTTACAGAGATGAAAATTTTTATTCATAGGCGGATTAATACAGTTTGAAGCCTAACAGAGAATTCACTTTCCTATTTTATAAATTTTTTCGTTTTCTACGAAGAGAGATATTCCAGTAAAGATGTCAACTCAATTTATTTTGTATTCACTTTCACCGAAAATGATACTTTGATCTTTATTTGGAATTAAATTAATGCATGTTTTTTAGGAAGAGTGTTATTTTTCTCTCATATTGTAAGGGAATATATATCTTTAAAATGATATTTAGTTTGAGGAAATTTTTATTTACTTTAAATTAAATAAGAAAAATATTCAACAAACTAAATGAAAAATATTTTAAAAACATAATTAAAAATGGCTGTGTAAAATTTTAAGTGAGGGTAAACTCTTATTACTTTTGTATGATATGCATCATTAATACATAAACGTCTTTAATTTTATTTATGCTTTGCGTATTGGTGAAAACCCGAAGTAATTGCGGCAAGGATGTGGCAATTTTTTTAAAAATTATGTGGAAGTGATTGCGGATGACCTAAAAAACTGCAACTGTAACGAAAAAAAAAATTATTACATTTTCAGAGTCTGCGCTAAGGACTTCAAACTATTAGCCAGAAAATTAGCCAAACGTCAAAAGTTTTAGTCAAAGGCAAATCTTAACAATTTCTTATAATTTATTTTTTAACAATTGATTTTTCTTCAAATCAAAATAAAAATTTACTATGAATTAAATTATTTTATAAAATGGAAATTCTAATCAAGAGTCATTTTGCAGTTGGGGAGAAGTAGAGGAGGAAAAATGTAGATGTTTTGTCACCTTTGAGGGAAAGAATTAAGAAAAATGTTTGGGTTAATTTTTGATAATTTCTTAGACTAGAGCAAGTAATATAACAATAAACCTGTGGTAACATTATGTTATTGCATATGCTATAGTCACGAGAAAGCATATTTCCTTCGAAAATATTTGAATGATAATATGCATCTTGCTACACACATAATCTGTTTCATCGGCACTAACTGCAGGAAAAAAAATTGCCGCGTGACATCGCGTATTCAGGCAACGAACGTGGAAATCTGCATTTTATGGTAGTTTTGTCTCATGCCTACATAACCTTTCCTGTTGCTTACATTACCTGGAAATTACACTACTGTTTAAAATGTAGTTAAAATTGTTTTCGAATAAATAGTTATTTTTTTCTCTTGTTTAGTGGTCAAAGTTTTCAGGACAGAAGGCCAACTTTGAAATAAAACAATTTCGTTTCAAAATTACAAGGTAAGCATTCATTAATTTTAAGAAAATACTAATTTATATTGTTTTTTCTAAATCATAAATGCGTTGGGTTCATATAATAATAATATTTTTAAACTTATTTTTAATCAAATAATTTACATTATAATTATTTACAAAATTTACATATTCAATTTCAAATTAATCATTTAAAAATTATAAATATTTTAAACTATAGTTATTTATTACACCGGTTTGGTCAAAGGTAATTATTTAGATAGATTTTTTGACAAAATTGAAATTATTTTTATTTAACCATAATTTCGAAGAAAAAAAATTTATAAACCCCATTTTAACAGTCTTCGCTAATTTTCGATAGCTTTTCAATACTACTGATGGTTAAGGAATGAATACGATTTCCATAATTTACAACCACTATAATTTATGGACGGACCCTTAAAGATGTGGTCTGCGTTCTTTCTCCGTAGCCAATAAGCATCGTTGAAATACTTCATGTTCAGACATCAGGGGAAGTCCCAAATAACTTGGTGATTCCATTTCTGCGATTTCTGGTCTATTTTCTATCGAGTTGTTACAAAACGAAGAAAATTACTTATATTTATCCAACATGGGCATACGAGGCTTAAGTAGATTCATTGAAGAAAACGATGTATGCCAATCGTTTAAGTTAACGAATACACAAGTGATTATAGATGGATGTAGTCTCATTCATCATATATACACTCGCAATGAGACTAACTGCATTTTTGGAGGAGACTACGACAAGTGAGTAAAAAAAAAATAAATTCTGTTCTCTTTTTTATTTAAATTGACTTCTTAATGCAAGGTTTGGAATAAACTCTGGTCGGTTTGTCCGACACACCTAAACTTGGATTCAGTTTACCATAGAATAAATATCTGTATATCGCCAGACCGATAAGCGATGTAAAATGATGGTAAACTGTTTCGATTTCATGTTTTGTCCGTGTTATTGTTTTGTTTATAAAATTCAAAATAGTTTTTAATTTCTTTCCCTGTAACGTATCTTTCTTGTTTTTCCATTTATTTCATTTCATAATCCAATCATTTTTTTCGTTATTGTTGTCGTGGACGTAAACAGTCAGTTTTTGTTTTAACCACAGACTTTTCAATTTGTGGCTTCCTATTTGAACTTTTTTTTGTTTCATTCTGAATTTATCTAGTTTTTAAATCTATTTTTTTTTTCAAATTAGAAGAATAAATAAATGGTAGTGAAATAATAAATAACGTTTTTTCGATTTGAACTTCCATCGTTTTGTATATTAGCACATATGTGTACTTGCGCTTATTATTTTTTTTTAACGTATATGTATTATATTCCTTTAAGAATAAGTGAAAAGTAAAAGCGTTAATATTTAAATATTCTGCATTTTATTGCTTTTGTTCGCAAAAATTACATGAAACTAGTTTTAGTCACCTTAAACTAGTGTAGTGTAATTTGATAGTTACAATTAGTTATATTAGTTAAGAAACCTTAATTAATAAAATTTGTCTAAAATGTTGCTTTCCAGTCTTTGTTTGTTAAACTGAAAAAAAAAACTTAAAATTTTTCAATTTGACTTTCCATTTTGGCTTCCTATTTGAATTTTTTTGCTTCATTCTGAATTTATGTAATCTATTTTATTCAAATTAAAAGAATAAATAAATGGTAGAGAAATATAAATAACGTTTTTTCGATTTGAACTTCCTTCGTTTTGTATATTAACGCACATATATTTACTTAAACTTATAATTTTTTTTTTAACGTATATGTATTATTTTCCTTTAAGAATATTTGAGAGGAAAATGAGTTAATGTATAAATATTCTGCATTTTATTAATTTTATTTGCAAATATTACACTAAAGTAGTTTCATTGACTTTAAATAACGAAGTTCAGGGGTCTGTTTAGAAGAAAAACGGACCCTTCACAAAATATCTTTTCATAAAAACGGACCCTTCCCAAATTTGTTTACATTCATTATTGTTTTGTTAATCGAATAAGCCCTTCCCAGGAAAGGTGGGGGGGGNGAGGAAAGAAAGACAGATGTAGACGAACTAAATTTTGTCTTCGGCAGACGCTTCTTCCTTTATTCGTCCGAAATGAATATTCTGCATTCAGCAGTATGCTAAATACCAAATATTTGTATGTTGATCTCGAATTTAGTAGCTGCAATTGCTGCTTATTTTTTAAAATTTAATTCTTTTAATTATAATTTTACAGTGTTGAGCATAATATTGTACGTCTTTACGATTTAAAAACTAATTGAAAAAGTTTTTTTGCAATAACGGACACTATTTGCACTAATTCACTAAAGCGGACCCTGGTGGAAAGAATGTGACTTAACGTTTATTTTATATTCACAAATTACGAGGTAATTTTTCCCAATTTTACAAAAATGGATCTTTCACAAATTGTCTAGACCCCCCTGATGATTGTCTAAAATGTTGCTTTTCAGTCTTTGTTAAAATTTAGAAAACAATTTTGAAGGTAATTAAAGAAAATAGACATTTCAAACAGAACATCTTGTACTTACACTCCCGAAAATTTTGCACAAAATTAGCTCTGTATTAAAATTAAAAAAATACATAAAATTTTATCAAATATTCTCTTTTAAGAAATATGAGTGACATCGAAATCTTTAAAGGCAAAGAATTTGACACTGTATCAGTGTTTTTATTGTATAAATGTTTATAATGAAATAAATTTGTGTGCTTCAATGGGAATAAAAATATTTTCTATGTTCAGCAAATGTTGATAAATAATGGTGTATGAAGATGATTTTTATTGTTCCTGAACACTGTTCAGGAAATATGTTGCTTTTTATAGTACAGCTGTTGTATGAAATTTCTTTATGATATTTCTTTGGATTTAATTTGCATTAAATTGTTTTTATTTTTATCATATTTCATTACGGAAAATCAATTAGAGTGTCGAAAATTTGTTCTCAATAAAATTCAATTTATGAAATTATAGTAAGAATAAATGCCTATTAATTTTTTTTAATAATTGAGACCTATTTTAGTTATCTATTAATATTTAAAAATGCAATTACTATAATGAATTAGATTTACTCTTCAATATTGTTTCAGCAATTTTTGTTACGTATTTCATCCTACCTCATGGGGTCGACCAAGGGACCTCGGCCTTGGGGTACGTTGGTGCGCTTTTTAATATTTTTTATAAAATTAATAACTAAGGAAAAGAAAAGAACGGAACATTTCAATACGAATCATAAGTGACAATATTATGCAGTTTTCTTTAAAGAGAAAAATCAAATTTCACAAATAGTTTTTTAATAAGATTAAAAAAGCTGAAAAGTAGTTTTCTAACCTCGATTTCCCTTACATACGCTGTACCAGAGGTGGCGCACCTTTATGTGTCAACGTACCATTTTTTCTTAGAAAATGTTTAATGAGGTCATGGGCTTGCCGTCAAATAATTTTGACTTCGTGATTATTGGGAAAATAATATTAAATACTATCAACTCAAAACACTTTNAAAAAAAAAAAAAAAAAAAAAAACATTTTGCAATGTCTCAGTTATACGCGTAATTCAAATTAAAGCAACATTAGTGTGACTTCTGTTGTTGCAAATTAGATGACAAATAACTTATATTAGGGTTGTAAGCAGGGTTGGCAAGGTTTAGGACAGAATGGATTAATCCACGGTTTAAACCGTCCTGTCCAAAACTCCTTTGTCCAAAACTGTCCAAAACCCTTTTACTCAAATTATGTCACAATTTTATCTGAACAATATTTAAGAGGTAAAATAAACATATAACTAATAACATATTGATAATGATACTAGAGAATATTTGTTTTTAAAAGTTGTTTTATTAATATTGTTTGACTCTTCAATTTAAACAAAGGAAGATTTATCAGTAATCAAGTTCAATTGGTCCTCTTATTCAATAGTACATAACTGAAGTTTGGCCTTGCTATACAGGTTAAAATATTAGGGACTAAGTCCTTGGTTTGTTATAAACAGGTTTATTTATCTATAGTACTGTTCAAAAATACTTTAATTTCATTCATGTTCAATTCTTTTAGCATAGTGGTGATACATCACCAGTGTCAGTAACTGAAACTGATGTTATGTCCTTCAAAACTGTTAATACATTTTTCAGTTATTTTGTATTTTCAATTTAAACTGATATATTTATATTTAAAAACAATTTTTTTTAAATAGATGTCTTTTTTATCATCCTGTGATGCAGAAATTATAAATTTTTAAAAAAAAATATTGTGAAAAATGAAAGGTTAATTTTTGAACAAATTTAGTTTTTTTTTTAAGAAAAATTATTATTTTTTAATATTGCCATATTTATCCTTATGCAAAAATATTATTTATCAGTATTAAAAGCATATTTATATTTAAAGGGTTAGGTATTAACTTTTGTTGTTCAATGAATTGTGAAGCTTCAAAAATTATTAACCTTTTCCTATTATATTATATTATTTTCTTTTAATAAGTTATAGTAAATTGCATAAAAAATATCAAATATTTATTTATACATATAATTATTATGTGAACAATGGTTACACCTATAGAATTTTTACGTTTTACCAAAGTTCAAGATTTTGGACACTTTAAGACAGTTTAGGACAGTTTTACCCAGTTTAGGACAGTTTTACCCAGTTTAAGACAGTAAAACCCACGTGTCCTGTCCAAAACCAGTTAAGTACGTCCAAAACCCCAACCCTGGTTGTAAGGTATTAATTTTAACAGAATGCATGCTGAACTGGAGTCATCTGTCAGACGGTTTCTGAACGAGTCTTTAATGGTATCATCTTTGAAAATAATGACTAGCAGGCATAGGTAGATGCAAATATAGTTAAAATAGCACGACCCAACTTCTTCAAACAGTAAAATGTGTCTGGTAACGAATTCCATCTTTCCAAAATTTTGTTATTATTATTTTTACCTATGTTGCTTGCTAATTTCTCTGTTTCAATTAATTCCAACACTTTCTTTGTTTCATAAAATTTTTGAATTTATAATGAACTAGACTGGAAATCAATCAGCTACATTTCAAAAATTTCAAGTTATAAGCAATCGAATTGGGACATGTTTAGTTTATCAAATGAGGGTCAGGGTACATAATTAACTTGAGTGGTTCCGATAATTCGTTGAACTAAGAAAATCTCGCTGAAGATTCATTGATTGAAGAATCAATTACAGAAATAAATTCTTCAGTGACTGTTTCTTCGTCTGGTTTCTCATGTTTATCTAAATCGTTGATATTTTTTTTCGTGTTTGGCAGATACTTGTAGTTTCTTGTAATAATATCGTTAATGAAAAGATGCAGTTTAGCGTCAAAATCGCAAATGAGATCTATTATGACGATAATTGTTCTGTTTGTACCTTGCATCTTCGCTTTCAATTCATTTAAACATTGGTATATGTCTATAAAAAGATAAATTTTAAACGCCATATAACATCCAACAACTGTGGGTATTGTTCAATTTTCTTCCCTCATTTTGCAGAAACAGTCTGATTTCTTTCAAGCAATCAACAAATCTTTGAAGCAAGTTTCCGCGGCTCTCAACTGAACCAGCAAATCCGTAATTCATTATACACCGAGTTGACTTCATCCAACAAAGCATGCAACTTTCGCTAATTCAAAGCCCACAACGAAATGATGTTGACTATTTTTGTGATTACCGCCATTACACACAATCTAAAGATGTTAAACCACTCTTAGCACACAAGTGAATGATGCAAGAATCGAAAGTCCTACGTCTGTTTGAAATAAACTTATGAAACCATTATTTTTTTTTTTGCCCACCATACTTGGAGCACCATTAGTTGTTAATGAAACAATTTTTTTCAAATCAATTTCCTTCTCAGCAAACGAATTTGTAACAGCCGTACAAATATCCGCTCCCTTTGTAGTTGTTAGCAATGATTTGAGCGCAATTAATTCTTGCTTAATGACGTTTTCTACGCAATATCGAACAAAATCAGCTAAACGTGCAGGTTTAGTGATTTTAGTGCTTTCGTCAAGACATAGCTATATAATAGGAGCGGAATTAATATCAATTTTTTGTTCACCTGTTAAATTTCCGATCAGTTTTAAGATTCTTTCTTTCATTGTGTTTCTAGACCGTGGAGTATTTTAAAAGCGCTGAATTATCTCATCTTTATTATCCAAATCAACAAAAAGTAAGGGAAAGCCCAGCCCTATACTATCTCTAGATGGATTATATTATATTTTCTGTTTACTGAATATTTACCTTAAGATAGACTTGTCTAAAATACTATTTGGTCAAATATTAGCTTAAAAAGCTATTTCTTTGTTAAATTTTTTTTCAGTTGGTAAAATTTTTATTTTCAAGACCTTTGTTTTTTAGTAATTTTAGATATTAATTTTTTTCAGATTTAATACAGTTTCTAATTTGTTTCAATGAAACTGATTTATCTATCTTGTTTGAAGATATAGGCACCTCGGTTTCGGGGTACGTTGGTTCACTTTTCAATGTGCCTTGTTAGAAAATCCTAAACACAATACCGTTATGCATGTTTCTCTTACACGGCGACAAAGAAAGTCCCCATTTAATTTTCGCGTTGGCAACAAAAAAAAATTGAAATATCAAGTGTGAGAGCTGTCATAAGCATTAAAGCGTAAACTTTAATATTCATATATTTCTGAATGAATATTCTTTTCAAGCTTTGATACCTGAAAAATATTAACTAGAAGTTGGGAGGAATTGATAGGCTGAAAGCGAATGGTTCCTATCAACAGTGTGCTCTATCCAAATTTTTTGACTGCATGCCATTTAATTCAATTTTAACTTCCTAATAGTTTGACAATCATTTAACAACTTGACAGTTTTAGCCCAAAGTTCTAAAATGTATATATTTTTTTAAAAAAAAGTTTGAATTTTTAATAGCTTAGTAATTATTTTTTAAAGACATTATTACTGTTTTGTTTCTGCAAGTTTTCTGTAGTTTGTCGTTTATTTCGAATTAAAAATTTATATTTCAATAATTTATTCTTAACTAAAAATTTTCATTTTTTAAAGAGGATTTTGTTTTAAATATGTTGATAATAATTTAAATTTCTAAGATTTTACTCAGGAACTTATTTCAAGTATGATCAACTTAGTAGAGCGATACGAATACGGTTTTTAAAGCCAACCATCAGGGGTCTGTTTAGAAGAAATTTGGGTCCGTTAACGGACCCTTCACAAAATATCTTTTCCTGAAAATGGACCCTTCACAAAATATCTTTTCATAAAAATGGACCCTTCACAAAATATCTTTTCATAAAAATGGACCCTTCACAAAATATTTTAATTTAAAAACGGACCCTTCACAAAATGATTTATCTTTTAATCGGACCCTTCACAAATTTGTTTATCTTCATTATTATTTTGTTAATCGAATAAACCCTTTCCAGGGCAGAAAACAAGAAAGATGGATGTAAACGAATTAAGTTTTGTCTTCGGCAGACGTTTCTTCCATTATTCGTCCGAAATGAATATTCTGCGTTCAGCAGTATAGGCTAAATACCAAATATTTGTATGCTATATCTCTAATTTAGAAGAGCAATTGCTGACTATTTTCAAAAATTTTATTTTTTTTATTATAATTTCACAGGCTGAGCAAAATCTTGTATCTATTGACAATTTAAAAACACCTTGAAAAAGTTTTTTTTTGCAATAACGGACCCTATTTGCACAAATTCATAAAAGCGGACCCTGGTTGAAAGAATGTGTGTAATTTTTTCACAATTTCACGAAAAACGGACCTTTCACAAAATGTCTGGACAGACCCCTGAATACCGTTATGCATGTTTCTCTTACACGGCGACGAAGAAAGCCCTCATTTAATTTTCACGTTGGCAACAAAAAATTGAAATATCAAGTGTGAGAGCTGTCATAAGTACGAAAGCGTAAACTTTAATATTCATACATTTCTGAATGAATATTCTTTTCAAGCTTTGATAACTGATACCCGAAAAAATTAACTATAAGTTGGGAAGAATTGATAGGTTATAAGCGAATGGTTCCTATCAACAGTGTGCTCTATCAAATTTTTTGACTGCATGCCATTTATTTCAATTTTAACTTCCTAATAGTTTGACAATCATTTAACAACTTGACAGTGATAGCTCAAAGTTCTAAAATTTATATATTTTTTTTAAAAAAAGAGTTTGAATCTTTAATAGCATAATAATTATTTTTAAAGACATTATTATTGTTTTGTTTCTGCAAGTTTTCTGTAGTTAGTCTTTTTCTTCGAATTAAAAATTCATATTTCAATAATTTATTCTAAAAATTTTCATTTTTTAAAGAGGATTTTGTTTTAAATAATAATAATTTAAATTTCTAAGATTTTATTCTAGAACTTATTTCAAGTATGATCTACTTAGTAGAGCGAAACGAATACGGTTCTTAAAGCCAACCATCAGGGGTCTGTTTAGAAGAAATTTGGGTCCGTTAACGGACGCTTCACAAAATATCTTTTCATGAAAGTGGACCCTTCACAAAATATATTTTCATAAAAATGTACCCTTCACAAAATATCTTTTCACAAAAACGGACACTTGACAAAATATTTTAATTTAAAAACGGACCCTTCACAAAATAATTTATCTTTTAATCGGACCCTTCACAAATTTGTTTATCATTGTTTTGTTAATCGAATAAACCTTTCCCAGGAAGGGGGGGGGGGAGAAAGACAGATGCAAACGAACTAAATTTTGTCTTCGGCAGACGTTTCTTCCTTTATTCGTCCAAAATGAATATTCTGCTTTTAGCAGTATAGGCTAAATACCAAATATTTATATGTTGCATCGCTAATTTAGTAGCAGCACTTGCTGTTTATTTTTTAAAATTTAATTTTTTAATTATAATTTTACAGTGTTGAGCATAATCTTGTATGTCTTTACAATTTAAAAACTCCTTGAAAAAGTTTTTTTTGCAATAACGGACTCAATTGCACAAATTTACAAAAGCGGACCCTGGCTGAAAGAATGTGACTCAACGTTTATTTCATATTCACAAATTACGAGTAATTTTTTCCACAATTTTACAAAAACGGACCTTTCACAAAATGTCTGGACAGACCCCTGACCATGTCAGACTGCAAAAAAAATTTTCGGGGGTTGGGAAGAGTCATCAAACACTTATGTTTGAAAACGTAGAGGTCTTATTTTTAAAAATAAAACTAATAAGTTTTAACATGATTTTTAACTCAAATATTAAAAAAATTACCTCTTTAACACTGCACACTTTTTTTTTTACCCCTTGATNTTAATTTTTTTAATTATAATTTTATAGTGTTGAGCATAATCTTGTATGTCTTTACAATTTAAAAACTCCTTGAAAAAGTTTTTTTTGCAATAACGAACTCAATTGCACAAATTTACAAAAGCGGACCCTGGTTGAAAGAATGTGACTTAACGTTTATTTCATATTCACAAATTACGAGTAATTTTTTCCACAATTTTACAGAAACGGACCTTTCACAAAATGTCTGGACAGACCCCTGACCATGTCAGACTGCAAAATTTTTTTTCGGGGGTTGGGAAGAGTCATCGAACACTTATGTTTGAAAACGTAGAGGTCTTATTTTTAAAAATAAAACTAATAAGTTTTAACATGATTTTTAACTCAAATATTAAAAAAATTACCTCTTTAACACTGCACACTTTATTACCCCTTGATAAATTTTTTAAAAATTTGTTAAGCGGTAAAAAAAAAATTTTCAGCTTTAATTTTTTAAAAATTTTAACTGGATAAATTTATGTTTACTTTTTATTCTTGCTTTATCCACCACATATACGTGCAAGAAGTCTGAAAAATATAGCTTCAAATACCTCGAAAAATGCGTATTGTATCTAAAATTAAATCTGAAAAAAAAAAAAAATTAGAATAACTTTAAAATATACTTTTAAACATACCAGACTCGTTCCCCGCTCCGATTGCAATACAGCGCCATCTGTGATTTAAGAAGTCTGTAAGATAATATATTTTTATAAAGGTTTCTATAAAGAATCCAAGTCCACAATTGAAAAAGGGGTTCATCTTAGAAGAGATTTTTGACGGGTATTTCGTGTCTTACCAATAGAGGTTAAGATTGGGCGTGTAGTTGGTATCATTATTTCTCCCGTTTAGTAAAAAGAAATTTGTTTCTTCCACATTTCACGATATACTTAAAAGATTCATGATTTTCAGACAGCCTGTATTTATGAATAATTAATTTTCTATCGTTACAGATTCGCTACTGATGTGCAGAATTACTTTTCCATTCTAAAACAGTGCCAAATCTCGCCAGTCGTTATTTTCGATGGAGGTCACACTGATGTTAAAATAGATATGCGTTTACAAAGACAACAACGTCGCATTGAAGAAATAAAAACTCTTCTCAGAGATAAGGATGGAAAGATTAAAGTACTTCCAGTAAATTCTTATGTAGTTTTCAAGAACATACTTTCAGAAATGGATGTATTGTATGTTCAATGTGATTACGAAGGGGACGCCCAAACAGCCAGCGTTGCTACACACTATAAATGCCCAATTCTTAGCGAAGATAGTGACTTTTATATTTATGATTTACCCTATGGATTTATTAAGTTATCTCATATTGATAATGCTGTCAAAGTCGAAACTCTTCGGGATGGTTCACAGAAAAAATATTTATTGTGTAAAATTTTTTATTTGGGCACATTATTATGTAAATTTCCTTTAAAAGATAAAACAATGATTTCTTTGGTAGCGACTTTAGCTGGTAATGATTACGTATCTGCTTATGACCATTTGAGACAATTTTATTTCTCTATTAATGTTCGTTTTAGAGATAGGTTTCAGGGCCTTTTCTTGTGGCTGCGCAACCAAACGTTTACCGAGGCGAAATCGAAAGTTTTTAACTTTGTAGGAAGCGACATCAAAAACTTAATCGAAAAATCCATATCCGATTACGATATCAAACCGACTAACATGATTCATATTTTAAATGCAGTTCTCCATGATAACTCGGAGCATCTTATTGTAAGTCAATCCGCACTGATCATGCCCTGTGGAGAAACATTTCCAGGTGAGTTTAAAATAGCCTTTCACAAAGGTCTGCTTACCACTTTACCATTAAATATTATCACCTCCAAACGCAATACTTTGCATCCTCAAATCGAAGACTTTTCTAAAGCATCTACTTTCACGTGTTCTCGTTATATTCGAAAAGTAATTTATGGCATAGTTTTGCGGCATGGATCACAAAACTCGAAACGGCATGCCGAAACTTGTCTTCGTCATATCATAGAATATGAACCTGCAACCTCCGCTACGCAGCCGATTTTTGTCGAGTTTCTCTCTCAATTGGAAAATGGCACAGAAGTTCCTAATTTGAAAAATATATATAGAATACAAAAAGATGGACTGCAAAATTTCATGTGCAGTGTATTGGGTCTGGATCGAAATTTTTTTTCGGATATTAACAGCGATTTACACTTATTGTTTGGATGTATACATTATTGGCTTTTGCACAGTTCTCCCAAACCATCAAAAGCATTTTTGTCTTCTTTAATGCTTTCTATAATGTATTTGCAAATAAATTCGAGTACCTGTATCTCTCAAGCAATAATTAAATTAGTGTCAGAAAACTTTAAAATATATTTGCAGAAGCCTGTTTTAAACTCGATAAACCCGTTTGATATCAGCATTGTTCATAGCTATAGTCAACTTCAGGCCTGTATCCATGATATTAGTGCTTTGAATAGATTGCTAAACTTACCTTTTAAAACCCCACCATTGCACAAGCTTTTAAACGGGACAATGCTTTATAACCTAACAAATCTACTTCAATCAAAACCGAACGCCGAATCAGTCATCAGATGTTTATTGGGAAGAACATCTGTTATAGAAATGTATGAAGGATTTATGCACAAATTTGCATAAATTAGAATACATTTTTTGTGTAAATTATAATAAATTTAAACAACATTTATCTTGAATATTGAGAAGTGTTATCAAAAATTTTTCTGTATTGCAGAATACAGAGAAAAGTTTTGAGAGTTTAAAGGTGTATTATTTAAATACACAGCGGTATTAACTGGAATAGTATGAACAATTTTTCTTTATAAAAACCCTAAAGTTAAACATCTATTTCAGTAAAATAGTTCTCATTTTTTCTGTATAACTTATAGTTTTAAAATGCTTATATTTTGTTTCGAAATTTATGTTGTGATTCCATGGCAATGATCATACTGACTTTCCATCTATTTTTTCATACTGTTTTTTTTTTTTATGTATTAATCAGTTCATTATTTCTTATGTTTCGTTATTGTGTAACTATTCCCATGGAAATTAGTATTTTTCTGCGTTTTCATATTTTTTGTAGTTGTATCAAGTGCTATGAATGTTCCTATTTAGCAGTGATAATATATTTCTGAGGCTATCGTTAATATTATTCATAGTTAAATAAAATATTTTTGGTGAAATTTTTGTGCTGTTATTGCTGTTGATTTTCACATAATTTTTTCAAAATCCCGATATTATTATGATACGGGAAATTTAAATTGCGTTCCTGAGTACTATAAGATGCGATAATTCTATCGATTTTTCAATCAATTTTTTGGCAATTATCTCTACTGTTTCTCATATTTGAAAAACCTGATATTTTTAATACGGCATTATTTATTACACCACGTGAATCCCGCAACGTAGATTTAATTAACCCCTTTTTGATGCAACCGATTCGGGTGATTTCGACGTAAATACACGTGGATTTATCGGCAATTTTTATTTTGATTATTGCCGGGAATCTCAATTAAATTATTAACCTAGTTCATTCGAATTTTGACTTTCGAAATTGAAAATAATGGAATTTCTTTTATTTATTAAAAATTATACCTCATTATAACATGGTAAAATATATTTTTTCAAATATAATTTATGAATTTATTTAAAATATTATCGGACTCTTAATTATTAATACATAACATTGTCATAATATAGGACGAATCACCCGGTGTAGGTACAAATCGAAATTATTATTTTACACAACAGATTTTGCTTTGCAAATTCACATTTCTCTTGGACATAGATATATATTAAGGAAATATCATTTTGACAAATATGTTAATTAACATCAGGCGTTGCGCTCGAGTTAAAAATCAAGACAACTCCTAATATTTCTTTTAGAAATGTACTGAAAGAAATTATCCTAATATTTCTATTTTCTCAAAACTATTCAATATTTTTCATTTCATATTTTTTTAGATCCATTAAAAGTGTGTAAAAACCCTCTTAATTTACAATAAAAACGTACTGACAAATTCTGCTGCACTCCACTTTTTCCAGGATAATAAATATTTGCAATATAAACAAAACATCTCGGCATAATCAGGTATGAGGTTAATGTATTGGAAGAATTTTTGTTTCATGTTATTCACTTAAAAAATGTTCTATTGAACATAGTTAGAAAGTTTAATTTCGTGAATATTTTTAAAAGTTAAAATTTTAAAAATATTTACGAACTTGTAAGTTTAAAATTCGGTAACTAAGTTCTGTCGAACAGATTTTATTGAGTAAATTGCATGTAAGAAATGCAATATTTAGGCGTTATCATGGTAGTTTCAATTATTTCCGAAGAATTTATTGTCAACAAGTGCCTTATGAAAAGATTTACCTACAAAAATCGATTTTTCTTCCAGTAGGTCATGAATATTTCTCTAATTTCGGAAGAGGAAAATTTGATTCAACTTAAAATAGTATAACAGCTTGGTACATATAGTTACAATATAATAAATAAAGCAGACGATCGTTAACATTCAAACTTTTCTAATGACGTTATATAACATTTACATTCAATTTTATTTTAAAAAATTAATTTTTCAAAGCATTTTTAATCTAAAATGTTTTAAAAATGTTGAAGAACTATAAATTTCAAAAATAAAAATAACAGAAAATATTTTTTAATGTTTTTGTTCGTTCTAATTATATCATGTGTTTAAAAATTTTGAAAATCAAACGATTTTAAGTAACCTGTAGTTTTCTTACGTTTTTTCCCTTCATGTTTTCTACTTGAGTAAAAATCGTCAAGCAGTTTTAAATTTCTTTAATTCTTTTGCGTTTACAAATAAGTCAGTATGCTGTTACATCTTTGATAAGTCGTTCTGTTATATGACTTATTTTTCTGAATTTTCAATATAACTTTTTAAAAAACAAAAATGTTTGAAATAATTTAAAAGGCAACGTTAAAGAAATTGAAATGATACATTACGAAAGATTATACTAAGTTATCATCTAATTCTAAAATTATATATTTAACCTTTAAAACATAAATGTATTATGACTTAATTATCGGTATGACGCGTATCATTTACTTTTATATCAGTATTCTGTAAATATCGTTCTTTCTGTTATGATTTTTGTAAGGTTAATCTAGATGCACTCCTAATTTCTGGAAAAAATATATTTATTTTTAAATTCTAAAGCATATGGTTAAGTCTAATTTTTGTTACCTAAATTAGATAATATTCAAGAATAGCTGTACAGTAAAAAAATTCCGAATCAAATTACAATATAAATTGCCGGTACTTTGGGTACATCATCTATAAAATCCATTTTACCGTTAAATTCATTTTTTCCAAAAATTATTATTCTGTAATTTTTACAGTAAAAGTTATTTAATTAGAGTGGATTTTACTGTAATTATTTCTGTAAAAATTACGGTATATCAGGTCAGCCTCGTAACATGTTCCGCTAGGAATGGATTTTACTGGATGGAGTACTGGCACCCTGGATGCCGGTACTTCTTAATGTAATTTGATCTGAACCCACTCTCCGACTGACCCACTCTCATTGTATGGCATTTTCTTAAATAAATAAAAGAAATTGATTTGTATTTTTTTTAGTTTAGATAATATATATTAAAAGAAATAAAAGCTAGCATTAAATTATGAACCAAGCGCAGCTAAGAGGAAAATCTCAAATAAGAAGAGGCTGAGTGATCTTCCAAGTGAACAGCACGTGTTCTAGCGCTTTACGATTTGGGTTCTAACCATAGATTTTATGGTGATTTGTATTTGTCTAATTGTCTTCTATCACCCCTAACATATATACCATGAGTTTTGGACCTCCTTGTATAGAAATTTCAGTCCCAATATATAGGTGAATGACTTAATAAAATTTTCTAGCGAATCATTTATTCTTTTTACCAACTACAATTCAATAACCTAGTATAAATCATTAGATGTTTTCCGTTTTACAAACATTAATCCATCGAATGGTTTGTATAAATTTAAAACAGTAAAAAAAAAAAAAAAAAACAAGTGTGATTTGAATACGAAAATTTTGAGTTGCCAAAACAAAAAATGGAAAAAGTAAAGGTGAGAAACAAAAATAGAAAAACCACAGTAACCGAAAGAGAAAGAAGCTTAAAAATTGAACACGAAAAACTACGGTGGCCGAGAGGGGAAAATCATGGTAAAATGCATTTCCCCGCCCTATGGAGAGTTGTTAAAGAGCTAATATAGTTAACAAGCATTCATATGAATAAAGCAAGATTAAATTAAACTAAATTTCGTCAAGGCCAAAATTATTTCCTTTCCTAAAATCCCATCGGCTCATCTGGATGCCTTCACCACATCTGAAAATGCATTTTATCCTGATTTGCCCCTCTCGGCCACTGATATTTTTCTTGTTCTATTTTTCATCTCTCGGCTCCTGTGAATTTTCCAGTTCTGTTTCTCCCCTATATTTCTCAATTTTTTCGTTGGCACCTTTACGTCTTGTATATCAAATAATTCTTGCTTCTCCACATTCTCGTCTGCCAAGTCTTGAAAATGGGTTCTTGCTTTTGAGCGCTTGAAACAGGTTGACTGTTATTTCCTACTTATATATTTTGGAAGCGAGTGAAGGTTTTAATCAAGTAATACTTTAATCTATTTTCAAAGGGACACATTCTAGTCATNCTAACTATTTCCATCAATTTATGTTTTGTAGAACAAAAATAGAGAAAGTAAAAATGTCATCAGTACTTTGTTAAAAAAGGAAAAACAGAAATAATTTTAAACATAGTCGACAATAAAATGGATGTATATTGTTTATATTTGCCGCTGATCGGCAAATAAAAATTCTATCCGCGGGCCGGATAAAATCCTCCGGCGGGCCACAGTTGGCCCGCGGGCCGTAGTTTCCCCATCCCTGTTCTAGTGCTTTACGATTTGGGTTCTAACCATAGATTTTATGGTATCTCTCGGCTCCTGTGGATTTTCCAGTTCTGTTTCTCACCTATATTTCTCAATTTTTTCGTTGGCACCTTTACGTCTTATATATAAAATCATTCTTGCTTCTCCACATTCTCGTCTGCCAAGTCTTGAAAATGGGCTCTTGCTTTTGAGCGCTTGAAACAGGTCGACTGTTATTTCCTACTTATATATTTTGGAAGCGAGTGAAGGTTTTAATCAAGTAATTCTTTAATCTATTTTCAAAGGGACACATTCTAGTCATAGAATTAGTAGAAAATTTTCCATAGTTTTCAAATCTCTATTATTAATGTTTGGCGGATACCTAATTCTTTAGTATTAATTATACATACTTCTCGTAATTTGAATGCCACACGTCGTATAGAGTATTTATCAAAAACTAAACTCGTATTTTTTTGTTCAGGTTAAAAAAAAAATTTTTTTCTTCTTAAATGCAAAGATTTTTTTCTTTTAATTTTAATAGTCTTAAAATGTAAAATTAAATTTGTTTGAAAATCATAATTTACTTTTAAAGTATTTCACTTGAGCCGAAGGCAAAAAAAAATAATGTTAATGCAATACTTAAAAAAATTCGATTTTATAATAAATAGTTGTAAGAATATTAAGAATCTTGTCGCGCATGCGCGTCAGCGCCCCAACCGGCAGAAGATTTTGTAACTTCCACGATGACAGACGGCTCTCATGTAGCTCCGTCTAATTAAAAATAAAACACTGAAATCGCATTTAGCGATAATTAAAATAAATCATCTCTTTTTTTAAAGAGTGGTCCGTCTTATAAATTTTTCTCACCATCTGGCTCCGTCGAACTTCGGAGTTTGAATCAGAACAATGGCTAAGCCTATGGACATCATAAATAGATCACGAACTTCAATTAAAGGCAACATTACCCGCCTAGAAAACTTTCTACAAATTGATGACCTGCGTGGTATCACGGAATTAAGTGTCAAACTTAGAAGTGTAGAAGTCTTAAAAAATAGAAGTGAGTCATTGCGACAAGAATACTACAAATTGGACATCCAACTTGCTGATATTGACGTCATCGATACTGATTTGAATCAGTGTGATGAACGGTTGGATAATTTAGAGGTAGGAATTTTGAAATTAGTAAATTCTAATAAACTATTGAACTCTGATTCTAATATCAAGACAGAGAATAAACATAAACTAAATGATAACTTAGAAACTGTATTAAAAATTCCTCCAGTTAATCTTCCTATATTTACTGGAAAATATGAACATTTTTCTAGTTTTAAAAATCAATTTGATGATTTAATTTCTTCTAACTGTCAACTCAGTGAAACACAGAAACTATATTATTTAAATTCTTGTCTTGCTAATGAAGTGAAAGAATTTGCTTCTACCTTTGATACATTTACTTCTTTATATGAAGCATTAATTTCAAGATATGACAATAAAAGATTAGTCGTAGATATTCACATTCAATCTATTTTGAATTTTAAGAAAATAGAAAAAGAAAATGCTGAAGAAATTCGCGCCATGATTGATTGTTTGAATAAAAATTTAAGAGCTCTAAAGGTTTTAAAATATAATCAAGATCCTCTATTTGATATATTTTTACAAACTATAATGTTGAAAAAACTCGATAAAGAATCTCGTAAAAACTTTGAATTGTTACAAAAAACAAAAGAAATTCCCTCTTTCAATGAATTCATAACCTTTTTAGAGCAACGGGAAGCTGTACTTTTATCCGTAGATAGAAACTGTTCATACGAAACAAAAATAAAAAAGCACCCAATGTTTCCCTCTAAACCTAAAACTCTTTTAGTGTCTGAAAACGATAACAAAAATAAAAATAAGAATTGCTTTCTTTGTAAACAAGGTATGCACCCCATTTTTCGCTGCACATTATTTTTAAATCTTGACATTGATGAAAGAATAAAGATAATTCGTGCTAATAAATTGTGCGAAATATGTCTGAAAAAAAATCATACAAAAGCCCAATGTATTTCCCCATATCGGTGTCCTTGCTCTTTAAAACATTCAAAGCTAATTTGCAGAAAATTAAATTTGAAAGAAACTGAATCAAATATTTCTTCTTCGAATTCTATGAATATGAATCATTTGCGATCTCAAAGTGAAGTTGATCACGTGCAACTTCCTTCTTCTTCTACTAGTAATCCATCAAATCCCAGTGCTTCGGTATTAAGCGTAGCCACTAATAAACAAACCAAAAAATACGTTTTGCTCTCAACTGCTGAAATATTTATTACATGTGCAGATGGTAGGAGAATAAAAATAAAAGCGATCCTTGACTCAGCTTCTAATATATGCGTATTAAAGAAAAATATGAGCGATTTATTAGGGATTAAAAAAGAGAAAATAAAAACACCGATTTCAGGATTAAACGGATCGATCCAAAACATTAATTGGAAATTAACTACATCCATTTCGAATGAAGATTTTAGTTTTAATGAATTAATTGAATTTTATGTGGTTGATAATATTACGGGGCTCACACCGCCCACTACTTTAGACATTTCGCAAATAGAGATTCCTCATTTTTTGAAATTAGCCGATGAGTCATTTTATGAAGCTACTGAAGTGCACGCGTTAATAAGTTCTGATATTTTTTTCAAGGTTTTGAAACAAAATACGTATAAAATAAATGATGATTTGTTTTTTAAAGAGTCGTCTTTGGGGTGGATAGCTTGCGGTAAACTTAAAGAAAGCGAAATTACTCAGGAAAGATATTGTTTTCTAACTAAAAATGATTCGTTACAAGATACACTAAAACTGTTTTTTGATTTGGAGGGGCTTGGGATTAAAGACGATCCAATTTTACAAGAGAATGATCAGGCCATGAAAATATTTAATGAAACTGTTGAATTCAAAGACGGTCGTTACATAGTGCAACTTCCATTTAGAAAAGACTATAATGAACTTGCTGATAATTATTCTTTAGCGAAACAACGTTTCCGAAGCTTATGGAAAAGATTTACGCATGACCCGGATCTCTATGATAGATACCGTGAAATTATACAGGATTATACAAGTCAAGGCATTATAGAAATAGTTAAACCTGATAGTATACAGGATGAATGTGAAAGACCTATATTTTATTTACCCCATATGGCCGTTAAAAAAGAAAGTTTAACAACATCGTTAAGAATTGTGTTTGACGCTGCGGCGCACGAGGTCAATGAACTCTCTCTCAATGACTGTTTGTGGCCAGGGCCCAATTTAAACCCCAATCTTTTGGATGTACTTATTGAATTTAGACTCAACCGAACAGCTTTCTGTTCTGATGTGAAGCAGGCTTTCCTTCAAATAGGTCTTGCTGAGGTACACAAAGACGCAGTAAGATTCTTTTGGAGCAATGATGAACCAAGTGTTTCTAAAGATCCCAAAATAATTATCTTCCATTTTAATAGAGTGAACTTTGGAGTTAACTCAAGTCCATTTCTACTCGCTGCTACTATTAGGCACCATATCAAAAAATATGAAAATGATCTTCCTGTTATCGTTCAACTTCTAGATAGAAATCTTTATGTGGATGATTTTATTTCCGGTAGCAATGATTTTGATGAAGCATTAGAAATATCTAGAGATGCAAATAAAATAATAGAAGCTGCTGGAATGACTCTAAGGAAGTGGATAACTAATGATGCTGATTTGATGGAGCAGTGGAAGAATGAGGGACTAGATACTCATCCTGCAAACGCTAGTGTTAGTCTGGGCTCCAATCAGACTAAAGTGTTGGGACTTTTATGGAACACCAGTGAAGATTATTTTTCTGTAGATACCAGAAGTCTCCTAAAATTCGTCTCCTCAAGCAAAAGTACAAAACGTTCGATACTCCAGGCTATAGGGAAGATATTTGACCCTTTAGGGTTAATTTCATGCTTCACCATACGAATGAAATGTCTGATCCAAGAACTGTGGAGTGAAAAAATTCCTTGGGATGAATCCTTGCCACCGAAAATAGAGAAAGAGTGGATAAAATGGTGTGAAGAGATACCTTTTTTGGAAAATCTTAAGATACCTAGACTGGTTCTTAATTCTATATCCAAAGAGGATATCGTCGAGATTCATAGTTTTTGTGACGCCAGTAAGAACGCATACGGTGCTACAGTATATTTGAAAGTTTACACACCAAATGGACCGATTGTTAGACTTTTGACTTCTAAAAGCCGAGTAGCTCCTTTGAATAGTGTGACTCTGCCTAGACTGGAATTGCTGGGAGCTCTAGTTGCAGCTCGCTTGACATCCAAAGTGAAAAAGATTGTGAATCTGAAAAGGTCTTCAATTGCATATCATTGGACTGACTCTAAAATTGCGCTCTACTGGATAAAGGGAAAGACAACTCGTTGGAAACAATTCGTTGCTAATCGAGTTAAAGAAATAGCCACTTTGACAGATCCAAACTCCTGGCACCATTGTGCAGGTACAGATAATCCTGCAGATATTCTCTCTCGTGGAATTAGTGCTGAATGTTGCGGATTAATATCTTATTCAATGCAGATTCATAAGGCTGTTGAATAAAACTATATAGAATTCATCATTTCACGTGATATTTACAGAGATGAAGATTTTAATTTATATGCGGATTAATACATTTAGAAGCCTTAGAGAGAATTCACTTTCATATTTTATAAATTTTTCCTTTTTCTATGAAGAGTAAAGTTATAAGCTCAATTTATTTTGTATTCATTTTTTTAGTAATACCAAAAACGATTCTTTGATTTTTTTTAAGGATTAAATTGATGCATGTTTTTAGGAAAATTGTTTTTTTTCTCTCATATTATAAGGGAATATACATCTTTAAAATGAAATTTAGTTTGAGGAAGTTTTTATTTACTTTAAATTAAATGAGAAATATTTTAAAAAATAATTAAAAATAAAAAAAATGGCTGCGTAAAAATTTAAGTGAGGGTTAATTCTTATTATTTTTGTATGATACGCATCATTAATACATAAATTTTTTTAAAATTTTTTATTTATGGTTTGGGTATTGGTAAATGCCCGAAGTAATTGCGGCAAGGATGTGGCAATTTTTTTAAAAATTGAGCGAAGTGATTGCGGATGACCTAAAAAATTGCAACTAAAAGAAAAAAACGATAATGTTATATTTTCAGAGTCTGCTCTAAGGACTTCAAACTATTAGCGAGAAAATTAGCCAAATTTTAAAAGTTTTAACCAAATTTCAAAATTCTTAGCCAAAAGCAAATCTAATCAATTTCTTATAGTTGATTTTTTCTTCAAATCTATAAAAAATTTCTATAAATTGAATTATTTTATAAAATGGAAATTTTAATTAAGAATCATTTTGCAGTTGGGGAGGAGTAAATGAGTAATGAATGGAGAGAAGGGATGAAAAATGTAGATGTTTCGTCTCTTTTGAGGGAAAATGTTTGAGTTAATTTTTGATAACTTCTTAGACTAGAGCAAGTAATATAAAAATAAACCGTAGGTAACATTATGTTAATGTATATGCTATTGTCGCGAGAAAGCATATTTCCTGCGAAAATATTTGGATGATAATATGCATCTTGCTACACACATAATATGTTTTATTGGCACTAACTGCAGAAAGAAAAAAAAATTAAAATTGCCACGTGATATCGCGTGATCCGGCAACGAGCGTGGTAATTTGTATTTTACGGTAGTTTTGTCTCATGCATACGGAATCTTTCCTGTTTCTTACATTATCTGGACTTAATATAACTGTAATTGGTTATGCGACGTATCGAAAGGAAATTACTGTAATCGAATATAAAGTACGGGATTTGTTCAAAAAAAATTTTTTTTTTTTTTATCCCTTTGATTTTTTTTAAGGATTGACGGGAACATACATTTTTCTTTTCGGTAGAAAAGATCATTCGCCAATACTTAAGCAGAAATAAAAAAAATTTTCCCGCCGAATTTACGATTTTATGGCATTTAGCGAGGAGGCAAAAACTTAGCGCTGCCCCTGTATTTCTTTCTTGCTTTAATGATAAGTTCTAATTTATTACAATAACAGTTTAACTAATTTACTTAGAATAGTCAAAGAAAAATTGCTAAAACGATTCTTAAAATTGAAAAATAAGTTGAAGTTGTATGGAGAAAAAAGAGAAAAAACAAGGTAAATGAAAACATTTTCTAAAAAAAATAGAAATTAGGCGAATATTCGGCAACTATGGGGAAAATTGTTAATTAGGCAGTTTTCTATCTTTGCATAAATTATAGAGCTTCATATGTAAAAGTTTAAAAATACTTGTAAAGTGTTATTAGTCTATGATAATACACTCTATAACAAAAAAATCGACGCACCAAGAAGCAATCATCCGATTGCTTCTTGGTGCCAGATTACAGTGGTGCATGGCTTGATCAGGCTGGAATGATGTCGACTGGGAACGTATAGTCTTTAGCGACGAATCCCGCTTCTAACTGTGTCTTGACGATCATCGAAGACGTGTTTGGAGACGCACAGGGCAGAGGGGGGATCCTGATTTCACTATTGCACGTCACACCGCTCCTCAACAAGGCATTATGATCTGGGGTGCCATTTCCTTTGACAGCCGAACCTTTTTGGTCGTCATTAGAGGAACATTTACTGCACTGCGGTACGTCGACGACTTCCTAAAACCTGTTTTGCTACCGTTCCTTTTGCAGAGCCCTGGGCTGGTTTTTCGGCAGGACAATGCCAGACCACATACGGCACGTGTTGCTATGAACTGTCTGCAAGGTTTGTCAAACTCTTCCTTGGCCTGCCGGATCACCAGATCTCTCGCCCATCGAGCATGCCTGGGATATGATAGGAAGGCGATTGCATCTGGCACGGAATGTTGATGACCTCGTTCGACAATTGGATCGAATTTGGCAGGAAATACCGCAAGAGACCATCCGGGAGCTTTATCGGTCTATGACACGCTGTGTGGCAGCTTATTGAACTTGCAACACCTTATTGAACTTGTTACTGTAACTCTGCAATAAATTATTCAATTGTTCTGAAATTTTAATCATTTATTATTCTGTACATTGTCTTCTTATCTACCAATTTTCGTTTCAATCGGACAACTCCTTCTTGGTGCGTCGATTTTTTTGTTATAGAGTGTAGATTGTTTTCTCGTTTTTTTTCTTCTTACTATATACAGTTTAACTGTAAAACTATCATCACTGCTGTTGATAATTTTTGTTAGATGAAAGGAATGAAAATTGATGATTGAAAGTTAATTCGTATAATATCTCTCTCAATTCAAAGTACCATTTTAATTTACATAAAATTTCTAATGTTTTTCGAAATAAGCGGTTAAAGAATTTTTTGAATATGCTTAATGCTGTAACAACATACTGCTTTTTTTCATACATTAAATGCAAATTTTAAATTTAATTTTTATTTTGCTTTTAGTATAAACAATATAGTAGTTTTTACAAACAATATATTGTTTATACATTTATTATAAATCAAAATTAAGTTAAACGTATATAAGAGTACTAAATAATTTTAAAAACTTTTTTTTCCGGCTTTCTTGCTTATAGTTAATAAAGATCAATACATTTTTAATTTCAATGATAACAGTTTTAATAACGTTATAAACAGTTTTATTTTTTTTAATATCTTATAACAGTAGTTGAACAGCCGACCCAATTTTTGGGTTTACGACTGCTAATTTATTATATATATACCGTGGCCTAGGCCAATAGTCCCATACGCCAAATACAATGGATCATTTAAAAGGTCAACAGACCCTTATATAAATAAAATACAAAAATTATATATATATATAAAATACAAAAATTACGAACCCTGAGACTACCAGTAAAAACTGAGTGAGCCAGAGCTGGTGGACCCCTCAATACAAGACAAAAATTCTAACAATTCACCAAAAAACAGCCGTAAATACAACTCATAAAACCGCCAAAAGGTGAAAGGATAAAATGACGTAAATGAATATAGTGCTAAAATTGAAAAGTTAAAACTGAGACAAAATCACAGATGTATACACTTGCTAATAGGGCATTGAAAGGATCCAGCCAATCAAGCCAGCTTGAATCCTGCTTGTGGAACCAAAATAGTGAGGGTGAAGTAGTAACAGGTAGTTAAAATGAAGAACAACAAGTAAAGCAGAGTAAATTCAATTAAAGTACAAAAAACAGAGGATAAAATACCAATAGATACTAAATGGTAAGAGTTAAAAGGGGTGTATAACAATCTAAAAACCGTGTATAAAATACAATCGCAATGTAAAATATCAAATGTATTAAAATACAAAGGTTATAAACAAACCTAAAGCATGTATAAAATGCAAAATCAAGTTAAAAGTCAAATTAAAACACTAAAATGGCAATGTGGTCCAAAAAAAAGTTTTGGCAAGGTGGTTAGATTAAGCAGGTTAAAATTTTAGTTATTGTCAATTTTGTTTATTAATTCCATTTGTTCCTCAAGAGTAGTTTTAATGATAATCTTAATAATTTCTCTACAGACCTTGACTGCAAAAATTTGTTGGTCTGTTTTTTGGAAGAAATAATTTTTTCGGAGTGTTCGGTACAGATCACAATTATATAAAAGATGCTCTATGGTTTGTCTTTGGTTACAGTTTGAGCAAGTATCTGATTTATTAAAAAATTTGTTTTGGTTTTTACTAACAAGTAAACTTTGGTTTTGGTTTACGACTGCTAATGTTCAACTCAGTAGCCTTGTAATTTTGAACCCAATCCTGAAGACAAGGGACCTCCTGGATCAAGTAGTGGGAGAAATTTTCCTTCGTGGAGGACTTTTTGATGGAATTAACCCGCGTTTGCGTTACATGGAGAGGAAGACCACGAGAACCTCCCACGGTTAGCCTGACGACAAGGGGATTCTAGCCCATGATTTGCCTACCACTGATGATATTTCACGTCAGCACTGTGGTCGGTGCAAGCCGGATGCGGAATTCGTATCGATTGGGATTCGAACCCCGGTTCGCCTCACTGGAAGGCGAACGCTCTATTCTCTGAGCCATCGCGGCTCGCTATAAACAGTTTGAACTAATTAAAACGTAGTTAAAGCTGTTGTTGAATTAATATTTATTGTACTCTTGTTTAGTGGTCAAAATTTTCAGGAAAGAAGGCCAACTTTTAAATAAAACAATTTGTATGTTAGGCATTCATTTTTAAGAAAATACTAATTTATTATGTTTTATCTAAATCATCTAAATGTGTTGGCGACGTATAAAAATAATTTTAAAATTATTTATTATTAAATAATTCACATTATAGTTATAAATATATTTATTTTTATTTATAAAATTCGCATATTTAATTTCAAATTAATCATTTAAAAATTATAAATATTTTAAACTAAAGTTATTTATTACACCGATTTGGTTAGAGGTAATTATTTCGATTGATTTTTTTGACAAAATTGAAATTATTTTTATTTAATCAATAATTTCGAAAGAAAAAAATAAATAAAAAAACATTGTAACAGTTTTCGTTTTCGACAGCTTTTCGATACTACTGAAGGTAAAGGAATGAACATGATTTTCATAATTTACAACCACTATAACTTATGGACGGAC